AGGTGTTGATTAAACTACCTGAAGACTGTTGGAGGGTGTTATTAAGGTACCTGAGGACTGTTGGAGGGTGTTGATTAAACTACCTGAAGACTGTTGGAGGTGTTGATTAAACTACCTGAAGACTGTTGGAGGTGTTATTAAGGTACCTGAAGACTGTTGGAGGTGTTGATTAAACTACCTGAAGACTGTTGGAGGTGTTGATGAAACTTCCTGAAGACTGTTGGAGGCGTTGATTAAACTACCTGAAGACTGTTGAAGGTGTTGATTAAACTACCTGAAGACTGTTGGAGGTGTTGATTAAACTACCTGAAGACTGTTGCAGGTGTTGATTAAACCTCCTGAAGACTGTTGAAGGTGTTGATTAAACTAACTGAAGACTGTTGGAGGTGTTGATTAAACTACCTGAAGACTGTTGGAGGTGTTGATTAAAGTACCTGAAGACTGTTGGAGGGTGTTAAATGTGGAAACGTTTAAAGAACATATACACACCCACACATATATATACGTTTATTTATATAGATAACAGAGTAAGTATTCGCATCTATATACATGTATATCACAAAGGAAATACTCTAAAGTTTTAAAAACGTCAAATAATATGTACTGTAAGGGCCCGATTTGTGTGATGAAACAACATTCTGAATTCACATTCTTTACTTAGGTGGGCTGACTGCAGTTATTTGGACAGACTTTGTACAGACTATTATCATGATAGCTGGAGCTTTTGCTTTAATGGTTATTAGTAAGTATTTTTTTATTTGATATGTAATAGTTATTGATTTCAATAATGTTATTTCCTTTCAAGTTATCAATTCCCAAACTCCATTTTGTTTTTCATTCTCGTTAACAATTGCCATCGATGGGAAGGGTTTACAACGCTAAAATTCAGGATTAATCCCTGCGGTAGGCACAACGCACGTAACATTATACAGCTTTGTGTTTAACTTCAAACAAACAAATCATCCCTGCGGTAGGAACAACGCACGTAACCATTATACAGCTTTGTGTTTAACTTCAAACAAACAAATCATCCCTGCGGTAGGAACAACGCACGTAACCATTGTACAGCTTTGTGTTTAACTTCAAACAAACAAATCATCCCTGCGGTAGGAACAACGCACGTAGC